ATTTTTCCATCTTTCGATTTTATGCAAAATACATGCAGAGAAAGTGTTCGGTGAAGTTTTAGAAAGAAAATGAAAACGTTTTAGACTATAGAAACATCGATATAAAAAGCCCCCAAGTTTGCATTTGTCAAAAATTGAGATTTTTGCATGTTTTTTTTATGTAGAATGCTTCGAAAAGAAGTGTTTGGTTAAGTTCTAGAAATAAAATGAAAACTTTGAAGACTATAAAAGCACCTATTTATAAAAGCCCAAAAAATTGCATTTTTGAAAAGGGGTTAGCCCATGGTTTTTGTTAAAAAATTGACATTTTTATAACTATTGTTTTTATGCAATATGGGGCGTGAAAAAATAGTTGGTGAAGTTCTAGAAAGAAAATGAAACGTTTTAAGCCTATAAAAACCGCGATTTCTTAAAGCCGCCAAATTTGCATTTTTCTAAAGGGGCTAGTCCATGATTTTTGTCTATAAAATGACGTTTTTCCAACTGCTGTTTTCATGCAATGTGGATCGTGAAAAAGTAATTGGTGAAGTTGTAGGAAGAAAGTAAAGGCTGTTTAGACTAGAACAATATCGATTTCAAAGAGCCCCCAAATTTGCATTTTTCCAAAGGGGTCAGTCCATGGTTTTTGTCAAAAATTGAGATTTTTTTACCTTTTGCTTTTATGCAAAATGCATCGAGAAAAATTTACTGGTGAAGTTCTAGAAAGAAAATGAAGACTTTTCTGACTCTTAAAACATCGATTTATAAAAGCCCCAAAATTTGCATTTTTCCAAAGCGGTTAATCCATGGTTTTTGTCCAAAACTTGACATTTTTCCAACCCTTGTTTTTGTGCAATATGGATCGTTAAAACTAATTGATGAAGTTCTAGAAAGAAAATGAAGCCATTTTAGAGTAGAAAAATATCGATTTAAAAGAGCCCGTAAATTTGCATTTTTCCAAAGGGGTTAGTCCATGGTTTTTGTGAAAAATTCAGATTTTTCCATCTTTTGTTTTTATGCAAAAAGCATCGAGAAAAACCGATTGGTGAAGTTCTAGAAAGAAACTAAATACCTTTTTGACCATAAAAACATCGATTTAAAAAAGCCTCCAAATTTGCCTTTTTCCAGAGGGGCTAATCCATAGTGTTTGTCAAAAAATGGACATTTTTTCAACCATTGCTTTTATGGAATATGCCATACTGAAAAGGTAATTGGTGGAGTTCTAGAAAAAGAAAAATGATGCCTTCTTAGACTAGAACAATATGGATTTAAAAGAGCCCCAAAGTTTTTGATTTTTCAATGGGGTCAGTCCATGGTTTTTGTCAAAAATTGAGATTTTTCCATCGTTTGTTTTTATGCGAAATGGATGGAGAAAAAGTGTTTGGTGAAGTTCTAGAAAGAAAATGAAACGTTTTTCAAGGCTATAAAATCCTGGATTTAAGAAAGCCCCCAAATTTGCATTTTTTCAATGGGGTTAGTCCATGGTTTTTGTTAAAAAAATGACATTTTTTAACAATTGTTTTTTATCAAATATGCATTTTTTCAAAGGGGTTAGTCCATTATTTTTGTCAAAAACTGAGATTTTTCCATTTTTTTCTGGAAAACGGTTCGAGAAAAAGTGTTTGGTAAAGTTCTAGAAAGAAAACGAAACGTTTTAAGCCTATAAAAACTATAAAAGCTGGCAAATTTGCATTTTTCAAAAGGGGTTAGTGCATGTTTTTTGACAATCAAATGAAATTTTTGCAAGTATTGTTTTTATGCAACATGGATCGTCAAAAAGTAATTTGTGAAGTTGTAGAAAGAAAATGCTGCCTTTTTAGACTTGAATAATAGCAATTTTATAGAACCCTCAAATTCGCATTTTTCCAAGGGGGTTAGTCCATGGTTTTTCCAAAAATTGAGATTTTTGCATGTTTTTTTTTTCAAGCAGAATTTATCGAGAAAAGGCATTCGGTGAAGTTCGAGAAAGAAAAATGAAGAATTTTTGGACTATAAAAAGATCGATTTGAAAAGGCTCCAAGGTTTGCATTTTTCCAAAGGGGTTAGTCGCTGGTTTTTGTTTAAAAATTAAGAGTTTTTCAGCTATTGTTTTTATCCAATATGGATCGTGGAAAAGTAATTGGTGAAGTTCTGAAAATAAAATAAAGCCTTTTTAGAATAGAACAATATCGACTTAAAAAAGGCCCAAAGTTTGCATTTTTGCAAAGGGGTTAGTCCATTGTTTTTGTCAGTAATTGAGGTTTTTCCCTGTTGTTTTTATGCGTAATGATCGAGAAAAAGGGTTTGGTTAAGTTCTTCAAAGAAAAAGAAAACTTTTTACAGTATAAAAACATCGATTTAAAAAAGCTCCAAAATTTGCATTTTTCCAAAGGGGTTAGTCCATGGTTTTTTGTCAAAAATTGAGATTTTTTCATCTTTTGTTTCTTATGCAAAATGCATCGAGAAAAACCCTTTGGTGAAGTTCTAGAAAAAAATAAAGACTTTTTAGGCTATAAAAGCATCGGTTGAAAAGAGCCCCAAAAGTAGTATTTTTTCCAAAGGGGTAAGTTCATGGTTTTTGTCAAAAATTGAGATTTTTCCAGCTTTTGTTTTTATGCAAAATGCAACGAGAAAAAGTGAAAGAAAAAGTGAAAGAAAATGAAGACTTTTTTGACTATAAGAATATCCTTTTAAAAATGCCACAAATTTGCATTTTGACAAAGGGGTTAGTCCCTGCCATTTGTGTCAAAAATTGAGATTTTTCCATCTTTTGTTTTTATGGAAAATGCATCGAGAAAAAGTGTTTAGTGAACTTCTAGAGAGAAAATGAAACCGTTTAAGCCTATTGAAACCTCGACTTAAAAAATACTCCAAATTTGCATTTTTCCGAAGGGGTTAGTCCAAGGTTTTTGTCAAAAATTCAAATTTTTCCATGTTTTGTTTTTATGCAAAATGCATCGAGAAAAAGTGTTTGATGAAGTTGTAAAAAAGAAATAAAACGTTTTAAGCCTACAAAATCCCGGACTTAAGAAAGCCCCAAAACTTAGTCTATTGTTTTTGTCAAAAAATTGACACTTTCCCAACATTTGTTTTTATGCAATTTGGATCTTAAGAAAGGTAAAGTTGTAGAAAGAAAATAAAACCTTTTTAGACTAGAAGAATATCGATTCAATAGAGCCCCCAAATTTGCATTTTTCCAAAGGGGTTAGTCCAACGTTTTTTTTCAAAAATTGAGATTTTTCCATTCTTTGTTTTTATCCAAAATAAATCGAGAAAAAGTGTTGAAGAAGTTCTGGAAAGAAAATGAAGACTTCTTTGTCTATAAAATTATCGATTTAATCTCGCCCTTAAATTTGCATTTTTCCAAAGGAGTAAGTCCATGGTTTTTTTCAAAAAATTGACGTTTCTCCAACTATTGTTTTTATGCAATATGGATCGTGAAAAAGTGATTGGTGAAGGACTAGAAAGAAAACGATTTAAAAGAGCCCTCAAATTTGCATTTTTCCAAAGGAGTTAGTCCATGGTTTTTGTAAAAAATGGAGATTTTTGCCCGGTTTGTTTTTATGCAAAATGGATCGAGAAAAAATTTTTTGTGAAGTTCGAGAGAGAAAATGAAAACTTTTTTGACTATAAAGACATTGATTTCAAAAAGCCGCAAAATTTGCATTTTTCCAAAGGGGTTAATCCATGGTTTTTGTCAAAAATTGAGATTTTCCCGTCTTTTTTTTTTTGTAGAAAATGGATCTAGAAAATGCGTTTGGTAAAGTTGTAGAAAGAGAGCCTTTTTAGACTATAAAAACATCGATTTAAAAAAAAATCCTAATTTGCATTTTTCTAAAGGGGTCAGTGCACATGCATGGGTTTTGTGAAAAAATTGCCATTTTCCAAGTATAGTTTTTATGTAGAGTGGATCCGTGTAGGTCTAGAAAGAAAATGAAGCATTTTCCAAACAAAAACATCGATTTATAAAAGCCGCAAAATTATCATTTTTCCAAAAGGGGTAGTCCATGGTTTTTGACAAAAAATGGACATTTTTCCATCGTTTGTTTATAATTATGCAAAATGGACCAGTTCGAGAAAAAGTGTTTGGTGAAGTTCTAGAAAGAAAATGAAGCCCTTTAGGCTAGAACAATATCGTTTTTAAAAAAAATCCAAATTTGCATTTTTCTAAAGGGGTTAGCGCATGGTTTTTGTCAAAAAATTGACATTTTTCCAACTGTTGTTTATATGCAAAATGCATCGAGAAAAAGGGTTTGGTGAAGTTCTAGAAAGAAAATGCAGCCTTTTAGACTGGAACATTATTGATTAACCCCCCAAATTTGCATTTTTCTTAAGGGGTTAGTCCATGGTGTTTGCTTAAGATTTGACATTATTTTTTGCAACCATTGTTCTTATTGAAAATGGATCGGGTAAAAGTAATTGGTGAAGTTCTAGAAAGAAAATGAAGCCTTTTAGAGAAGAACGATTGAAAAGAGCTTCAGAACTTGCATTTTTCCAAAGGGGTTAGTGCATAGTTTTTGTGAAAAAATTGACTATTTTGCAACTATTGTTTTTATAATATTGTTTTTATGCAAAATGGATCGACAAAAAGTGTTTGATGAAGTGCTAGAAAGAAAATGAAGCCTTTTTACACTATAAAAACATCGATTTAAAACAGCCCTTAAATTTGCATATATTTTGTTTAGGACAACAAGTTTTTGGTCAAAGGAATAAGAAGAGAAAGATAGTCCCAGTCGAAATTATAAAATTCCAGTGTGTAGGCCTTTATAAGAGCATGATCAAATATGACTGACTACCAAGTAACGTAGCCATGCTGGTTAACAACACGGAAAGTTTATATTTGTTTAGTTCCCACAGATAATGGAGGTATGCTTTGTCCTCTATCAAAAGATAATCCCTAATAAACGTTTTCACAATAAACAGCTTGCAGTGTATTAATTAAAAAGGGGCCTAAAAATAAACCCATTGTTCGGCTTTATTCGTCGATGTTATGTAAACATTGACCTAAGCGAAGAGATGGAGAGTCACGCTATCGAGATTATTACTATTACATGTATATCTGTTCTATCGGGAGTCACCCAGTGAGTAAGAAGCGTTTAGTGTCGCCGAAAGTCCTGCTTTTTGGCGCAATTAAGGTCCATTGTTATTTACGTTATAAAAAGCTAGGAGGGAAAGGAACGAAGGAGTAACCGTGTGTTTGTGACTAATCAAAGTGTGGATTGTATTTTGATTTGATTAGGTGAACAATTAAGGTGCAGCCTCACGTCTGAGTTTGGGGAAAAAATGACAGCCGATCAGCTTTCATTTTGGGATCCAACTGTCATTTTTACTACAATATTTGCCTTGCTGCTATTCTCCTATTGGTATGGAACAACTGGCTTCTCAGTTCTTCAGCGTCTCAAGGTTCCGGGGCCGAAACCTATTCCATTCTTTGGGAATATTCTCGATGTTCGCAAGTACGGCAGCGTTCACTTGATGATGCTCGATTATGCTAAGAAATACGGAAAGGTCTTCGCTGTTTCGCTCGGAAGAAAACCCTCTCTAGTCGTCGCAGATCCCGAAATGCTGAAGAGTGTCATGGTGAAGGATTTCACGTCGTTTCACAATAGAATGATGCCATTACCTCCTCCACCAATGAATGCAAATGTCTTCTCCGCGCGTGACGCGACTTGGAAGCGGATTCGTAACATTTTGACGCCATCGTTTAGCTCCAAGAAAATGAAACTTATGGTTCCTCTGATAGAAGAGTCGTGCGATGTATTTCTGAAGGAACTTGATCAAATTGCTGACACGGGTAAGAGGATGATAGAATAGATCATGATTGTAGTTCTGACGATGCATGAATCTTATGAACAACAAAAGCGTTCATCCCGCGATGTATGATTTATCGCCACCCTGCCGGTTATGATATTTTTTGTCAAGCTGCCAATTTTCGTTGTGAAAAAAAGCAATGCTTATATGTTTGCTTAATTGTGATTTGCAGATAACTACAGTGTACTAAAGATAACGAAAATCGATTTGAAAATGGAAAATCGATCTTTAACGGAAGTGTGTGACGCTTTTTAAATCGAAAGGTGACCAAACGAGCGGGAGCGAACGGCACCTCCCTTCTCAATGTAATCCCCCCTTCTTTGGCTGTGGACAATACTCTATCTACTAGCTGCCCCCCACCAAAAAGAACAGTCAAGTCCAGTCCAGATTTTCCAACCGGCTGTGCAGACGTCATCAACAGAATTGACGTGAGTCAAGAGAGAATGAGCTGATTGACCTGATCAACCTCGTCACTCTCCAGGGTTTTCTTCTACCCATAGGAGAGAACCCTGGGAACGAGGTTGTTTCCTGATTAGTCATTGATATTTGTAGCGGTCTGTCAGTTCCTCTTATGCAAGTGAAAGCTGGCTTCGTTGCGTTGATTGAACGACAATTCAGCAATGCATTTCCGTGATAACAGGATTGCTGAATGGGATGAATACATACTGGACTGGACTGGTGGCTCCTTTTGATTCATTCTTGTCACTGTAGTAAATTATTTGGCGGTATTGCTACTTTAAAATTCCTGGCTTTTGCAACCATTCAAATGTTCCGACTGTCGTGCCGTAAGTATTTCACTTTGTTGTCATGTCCTTAAGATAAGATAAGATAATTTATTTAATGTCAGATACACAGGGGGTGGTCTCCCAATCCCCCGAGCCACGGGCTCGTGATAAAAGTGTTTGACAATATAAAAGAAAAATAAAATAATTAATATCTCAATAGCGACTAATTAAATTAAAAAAAAATAACATCTATCTATAAAAATAAATCAGGTCAAAGGCAATTGCTGCATTGACAGCCGATAAGTCTCCGAAAGGATGATGCATCGAGTTAAAGTTGATATTTGGTAGTTTCCATGATAATATTCCAAACATATTTTTTGTTTTAATTTCTTTGTAGGAAAGACAGTGAATGTTATGGACTGGTTCAGTAAGTTGGCTTTAGAAGTTATCTTCTCGACTGCTTTTGGCATCAAAGCAGACGTACAAACCGATCCAGACGAGAAACTTCTTAAGAAAGTAAGGAGTGCCTTTTCATTTCCGTTTATATTACGCATCCTTAGTCGCATTCCCATCCTTAGTACGTTTCTAAAGCTTTTATTAAGTCTAAGATCCAATATGGGCTATTTTGGAAAGGTCGCTTTGGAGATTATTCGTCAGCGTCGGGAGACTGGGACCGCGGAACGTCAGGATCTCATGCAGCTTATGCTAAAAGCGCAGCAAGAGTCCACCGTTCATGGGGTCAGCAAAATCACTGACGAGGAAATCGTCGCCCAGTGCATAGCATTCCTCCTTGGAGGTCACGAGACCTCGATGATATCACTTTCCACCTCCGCGTACCATTTGGCTTTATACCCGGCTGTTCAAGAAAAGCTGCGAAAGTGTATTTGTGAATACATGGAGACGAACCCGAGTTCTTCATTTTATGAAATATCACAAGGCATCGAATACCTTGACTGTGTCATAAACGAAACGCTGAGGGTGTTCCCGCCGGCGCATCAACTGAATCGCGAGTGCACCCAAGATTGCGTCGTCAACGGTATTGCAATCCCCAAACGCATCGAAATAATTATACCTTTCTATACTCTTCATCACGACCCTGATGCCTGGGAAGACCCGGAGAAGTTTGACCCCGAGCGATTCCGAAGCCCTGCCAAAGAAAACCGACACCCATATCAGTTCATGCCATTCGGAGCAGGCCCAAGGGTATGTCTTGGGATGAGGCTCGCCCTGATGGAGGTTAAGATACTGTTGGTAAAAATCCTGTTGAAATACAAGTTTGTGCGATCACCCGAGACTCAAGTGCCTATGGCCATGCATGCTGGTAATACCCTGGCTCCAAAAGATGGGGTTCATTTGAAGATCGAGTCTATTTAGTGTAACATTATCGAAATTCACCAGAAACATTAATCCATCGTAATCAAATTTCGCAAGCCTCACGCTAAGGCCATCTAAGCAGAGAATTATATGGAAAGATAATACTTTTTACTCTCTTAGGAAACTGTGTATTGGTTCTGAAAAACCATTTTATGGAGAACAAGAACGCTCTTACAGCCGCGTTCAGTCTGGCTTGCTTGGAGTTTAGATCGAGAAATGAGGAGGCGATTAATTGTACACGAAACAGGATTTACTCGCTAAAGATTTTTACTTCCTACTTTATCGACGTCGATACTTTTTATTTGTTTCTGAATTGATTTAGTAGGCATGTTAGCGACGACCGGAAATACGTCTGCGGTCGCAGGGTATACGCGTGTATTATTACACGAAAATTCAAGGGCCTCGATTCCAGCGAAATAACATCATTACCAGAGGTCAAAAAAGTGATTTACATGGCACGTCATTTCGCGTCATTTTCCTCCGAAAATAAACCGCATGCTCATCACAAGACCCATTTGCATCCAATGAAAGTTTACACCTCCGGACCATCGCAGTTTTGCTAATCAAGATTCTTTTTACACTTAGTGTTCACTTGTTCCAAAGTAATCAACGCTTTGAAGCGATACAATTCGTCTACCGACAGGTTTCGGAAAAGCTCTAAATTTAATCTTTCCTAAGCTTTCTTCACCAAACATGCTTGGCTTTGATCACGCAACCATTCCTATTCCCAGTTTCCACGGTCTCCGCTAGGAACGCAAGGCAAAATGACTCCCCATTTGTGTCATAAATACGAAGAATAACGCGTTAAAGATTATGAGTCCTGCTGCTTACGCAAGAGAGACTAATAATAAAAAAGTTATTTGTATTTGTTTTTTATATGACAAGGTACGATTAGACAAGTTTCGCTATAATTAAGCAAGGCCTGAAGGCGATTTTACAAGGAGAGTAGCTGTACGCAAACAAGGTATAATTAGGCAATGAGTAGTAAGATTAAGGTAACAAGTAGTACTGAAAGGCTCAGCGTGTACTTTGAGTTATCATTACGCATGCGCGCGGGAGGTTGCTAAGCACTAAAGGCTCGTGCGACTGAAGCCTCATGGTCCTTCTTGAGTGCTTAGAAATTCAAGGTTATCCGGCATAACTCAATGGTACACGCTTAGCCTTTTATCATTTGTTTTATAACATAATCAAAAGAGAAATACTTTTACATTAAGTAAAGAAATGATGTGAGTGTTGTCATCTGCGCACGCTATAGCGTGTACAAATCATTCTTAGCAATGTGTTTTCGTTCGTAAAAATATCTTCCTGAACAAGAAGTTCTCTGTCTTCATGTGGATTTTGAAATTATTTTTATGTAATCTTAAACCCCGTTTGTACACATTCTTTCAACACTTAAATAAAAACCGTAAGTTTGAGTAACTAATACTAATCGTCTTTTGTCTTTTTCTATTATCGTTCAGCGAAACAACGTAACAGCGGCTACAGTTAAACAACGTAAACACGCTCCTCTGTTTTTGAGAAATCATTTTATTAATGAAAAAAAAGAAAAATCCATTCTTAAACTGATATAAACTAAAGCAACATGGCCGCGCTCCAGCGACCTGTCTCCAGGCACTTAGCGACGTTTGCAACATGGTGGCGGGCAGGTTCGGATGCATGTGTGTGAGCAGACCACTGGGCACGGGCTGGGACCGCCGGGGGGAGCCGGCTGACCTGCAGCACCGGGGAGACCTGGGGGACCTGGAACACAGGAAAAGATGATTTCTCTCTCATTATTGATTGTCTCGAAAATTTCGGATCTTGATTAACATGTAAAACTAATGGCTGGGATTTGAGATTTTCGAAGTTAATAAACAATTAAAACACTCAAGATGTCTTTAGTGTTAAAGCAAATTGATGGTGCCTATACTAGAATGCTTCGCACAGCACTAAACGTTTCTTGGAGGCACCACATTACAAATGAAGATCTGTACGGTAATCATCTGTACTGAGCATTGCATTAAACACAAAGAGGAGGAGGCATCGAAGTTTGTGTTGTGGCAGCCACAACACGGACAAACTAAGAGAGGAAGACCTAACACCACGTACATACAGACTTTGCCTGAAGACACCGGGTTCGCCACTATCCGAGAAGTCAGAACTGCAATACTAGACCAGCGTGACTGGAGAGGGAGAATCCATGTTGTCTGAGCTGGCGCTCGACCAAACTAGCTAATCGAAAGGCTATGCTTTACGGTATATGTTTTTTATTGAACATCCGTCAAACACAGTTATTTGGAACCCGAAGGCCAGAGGCACTTGTGCAGCGAGGATGGCCCACTCACTACCCCTGTGGGGGTGATTGCTTGATGGAGACAGACTAGACTAGACCAAGTTAAAAGGAAGTAATCTGCGTCTTTCGCGTTCCCCAAGATGCAATTTGTTTTTCCCAAAAAATTTTTTTATAGCGCTCACATCCACTAGTTGCTCGTGGCGCTTTACAAGAATATTAAAAATAATAATTTTATAGTAATAAATACATAAAATAGAAATAAGAAGATATAAAGCATTAAACTTTAATAATAAATTAAACCATTATGAATAAATTTCCTAAAAAAGGTAGGTCTTTAATTTTTTTTAAAAGTAGAAACACTGTTCGATTTACGAATGTCTAAGGGAATATTGTTCCACAATCTAGGGGCACATGTAGAAAATGCCCTGTCGCCATATGTTTTATTGGATTTTTGTTGCAAAAGAAGTTCTTGGAAATTTGGACGAAGTTTCCTAGAATGATTCTGGTACTGAAATAATTCGACCAAATACCGAGGGCCAAGACCATTTAGAGCTTTAAAAACGAGCAAAAGTAACTTGAACACAACATGGTAGGAAATCGGAAGCCAATGAAGTTTTACCAGGATTGGACTTATATGATCAAACTCACGAGCACCAGATACAAAGGTATTGTCCGCAATTTCTTAAAGGACGATTATTAGCCCAAGAGAAATTGAAAACAATACTGATGCAAAAGTTTGTGGGGGAAAACAAATTTCATCATGGAGAACGTGAAAGTTGCAGATTTTGAACGCGAAAAAGTCATTACCTGGTGGTCCTGAATCTCCAGGAGGACCTTGATTTCCTGGCGGGCCTGGGGGTCCCATGGGGCCATCACGTCCAGGTGGGCCTGTAGAGAGAGAGAAAAAAGGTGAAATTTGATCTATGAACCAATGCAAAGTCTATACGCGGTTTACTAATATACAACGCGGTTCTTTGGGCCTGACGATTTTATGGATAAAATGCCAAAATGAATGCTGCGCTGCGAGTGGTCCTGTTTTGAATTAGATCGTGACTGCCTCTGAATCTGTGAATGGAATACCCCTGAGGGAATCAGTGATTCTTGCGAGCACCAGTGTTGCGATTCTGTTAACTATAGTATAATTAACTTGTTTCTGTGCTTTGGTTGGGACGACTCTTTTAGCTGCCAAAGAGGCGAAAGGTTTGTTATACGATGGACATGTAAGTTTTGACCCTCGACAAGTATATGATAATAAGTATGATAAAGATTTATCAAATTCAAGCCCTAGAAAAAAAAACTTGGCCCTAAACTTTACCTCACATTACCTTGAGCGACAACTGCATTTTAATTGAAGCCGGTATCCACAGAGACGAGATTTAAAGAACAGGGCCCAGTTGTTCGAAGGCCAATTAGCGCTTAACCCAGGGTTAAAATTAACTTGGGTTTCTTTTTCTTTTGTTAAAAAGCAATTTCTCGGATAATTTTCTCTGTTATTTTAAGAGCATCCAATCATCAACTTGTTGACAAAAAGAATTAAACTGAATTTACTTTTTAAGCTTTCATGTCTGAACTCAAATTTAGCACTGACCCTGGGTTATCTTAACCCAGCTTTGAACAACCCGGGCCAGGATACGAAAAATGAACAGTGAAATTCGTAGCAATTCGTTGCAATTTACCTGCTGGTGCACCAGGAAGTCCTGGAAGTCCAACTGGTCCAGGGAGACCGAGTTGTCCTGGTGGTCCCTTGGGACCATCTGGTCCAGGAGGTCCTTGAGGTCCCATTGGACCATCCATACCTGGGGGGCCGGGGGGTGGAGGTGGAGGAGGTGGGGGAGGGGGTGGTGGTGGCGGTGGTGGTGGTGGTGGAGCTGGATTACAACATGTTACCGTACAACGCGGGGCGCAACTTTCGGGACATCCTGGCGGACACGGATTAGGACTTCTTTTGTAGTGCCGAAGATGTTCTGCAACAGCAACAACAACAACAAAAAAGAATGAAATGTATAACTGTGTTATACATATCTTTACTGTTAAATTAATATTGTTTTATTAGAACTCGTTAGTTCTTTTTTCAGAACAGTACCAGTGACAGAATATGCTAGGAATGCGTACTATATCCTATTCAAACGGGGCCATCATACCCTTGACTGCCAAGGGTAAAGTTGTAAACATGCATGTAATTATCTATCAAGACATAGCCTCTCTTAGTAGCTTCTTTTTTGTCGATACCTTGATAATATGAAGTAGCTTCGTCACATTTCAGAGACACAAAAATAGAAAAATAATCAAACAAAAGTCTTCAATTTTGAATTCCTGTCAACAAAATACAGTGGTCTGAGTAATACCATGAACTCTGTGTGGCGGTATTTTTACATTCATGCCGCTGTTTGTTGATCACAACTGTTTTTTAAAACGTGAAATTTGCCTTTTATAATTTCAATTTTCAAGGGCAATGTTGAGAAGATGAATGGTAAATGTTTTGATCTCTCGTTTTCATTTAGCAAAATGCTATAAATTCGTCTGAACGAAAAACTTATAAAAATCGCATGTTTTACCAGAAAAAATAACTACCCAAAACGAAACAAACCAAAAAACGGTGAGTGGTAAGTCATTATTCATAATTGCCTGCTGGTATTACGCTACTGGAATGTTCACGCTCTTTTTAGCCAACCAATCATCATCAGTTTCGCACATAGCAGGCTCCCTTCCTTTAATTTCGTTCATTCTTTTCTGAAATAAAATAAATTTCGGGATCTGCTCTTATCTCCTATGATTATAACATCGCACTTGAAACTTACGCTTTAAGATTCATTTTTGATAGCCGATCAGAACGCGCAATAAATTTGTCTGGATTCTACAAGCTCATTAATAATTCTTAAAGTTTACACAAAGCTAGTCATAACTTTATGGTAGTTACCTATTTTAGATTTTTTCTTAGATAATTCCGTCTACGTCGGAGAAGATGATTCAGCTTGTAACTTTACCTTGTCAGGGTTTTATCATTAAGTTTAATATAGATTTACATGGTTTTCCGAGAAGTGGCCAATCATAGCAGCCAAAAGCTTACTTCCTAAAATATTAAACAAGAAAACGTCTTTGCTTAAAGGAAACTGATATAGCGGAGACTTACCTAGCGATGACGCCGAAGCGAAGGAAGATATATAAAGAACAGATACCAACACTAGTAGCAAGCCCTGCATCTGACCGAAAGGGAAAAAAAAAAGACAAAATTTAACTTTATGTCGATAAGGAAAGTCTTTATTATTTATTATTTGACATGACTTCTTGTGCCTCTCAAACCGTGACTTATATAAATCCTCTTTGTTAGATTTTCATAAGTTTCCTTTACAAATACAGTACTTTCGTATAAGGAAAAATAAAACCCGTATAAAATCAACTTAATTAGCAATATTAGCAAACGGTCACTTAAGTTGTAACGTCCTCTCGTGTTCAAACTAAGGTTATTTTAGACCAGTTTGAAGGCTTGAGAAATAGAAATTTATTCTGTTTTAACTAAAACCTTCAATGTAATTCGAAATTGCTGCAATGTTCATTGCAAAGTGTGGACTGTTCAGTATACACTTTTTTCTTAACATCTCTGAACTGTTCGCTGGAAAATTCTCTAATGATATTCCTTGACATTTAATTTATAACTAAAAATTACAAGTGACCAAATAATCTTGAGTGTAAAATGTGCAGTTGTAAAACTAAGCATTGCTACGGAGTATATATTCAAATAACTTATTGGTTATAATAATAAAATTGATGTTAGCAACTTGAAAATTTCCTAACTCTAAATATTGACTAATCTGATCACGAAACAAATAGACTAAAAATCAAAATAAACTCATTTGATTTGTCCCAAAATTTACAAATAAAACCAAAGGAAGCCATAACTAATAAATTAATCGAAACATCAAGAGACAACCAATAAACTGAGTGAAGAAATGATAGAAATTAAGACAAAAAAGTTCTCTTACCTTGTTTGTGCAAAGCTGTCTTCGAATTGTGTTTCGCGTCTTTCAAACTCTGGCCCTTAAACGTCTGATATTGCTGAATAATTAATCAGTTCACTTTTTGGTTCATCTGGTTTTTTTAACGCTTCATAAGATTGGGATGGCTGGTAAAGTTTCGGAGCTGATCAAGCATTCGAAAACAAATTCGCAAAGAGTATAAAGCATCCATAGCTAACTGAAAAGCGCGGACATATCAACAATCAAACTATCTCCTTTGAGATAAGCTGGGCTCTACTCGTGCCCTGTTGAAATGCGGCAATCTAGTTCCACGGTCATGTTGACCTAAATTGCGTCACTATGAATGGCGTTTTGATGAACCCATTGTTCGGATAACAGGTTACATGGTCAAAAATTTTGGTTTCAACGGGTGGCAATGGGTTCTAAACGGACCTTTTTCGTCAGGCCAGCGAGATGTCAAAAGAAGTGTTCAGTGAAAAACCAAGACGTCGGAGGGGCAACCTGGCCACAACCGCACGATACAAGAAGTGCTCTTAAGGGAGAAACTAACGCCACAACTGTACAGCCACAACGTGTTTTACATTTTTTACTGATGAATAAGACTTCCTGTAAGAGCTACTCGGTCGTGAAGTTTTCTTTGCCTTGAATTGACCGGTACCTGCTTAGCTCAGCTCAGGGCAGTGATTCTGAGAAGGGATTTCAGCAATCAAAATTTTCTTAATATTTACCAAGCTGCAATAAAATTAGGTTAGAAATAGATTCGAACGACACAAAAGTACAAAAACTATCATCCAACTTTATTTTGGTGGAAAAATGGTACAAAAATATATTCTCTACCAATTACAAGAAACGGGTCACAAGGACATACAAATGAATTTCTCAAGTACCCAGCCTTCCAATTAAAAGGCTACGGTGTAAATCTCAGGTCAGTTTCGCTTAACAAGTATATAATAGAAAAATGTGATGCTATTTTCAAAGCACTTAGCTTTTAGACAGCTTTAATTTGCTTTTATCATTAAATTTGAGAGCAACGGATAAAGGGTCTCTTGCAAACCAAAACATATGTATTTTTGGATGTGATTACATATAAATAGGTCAGATATAGCCCGTAGAAATTACAGTGAAATTGTCATTGACTTTATATCGCCTTTAAAATTCTAGTTTTAAAAATACCAGCGTCAGAAACGTGCCACCGGCTGCAGAAACTATTCCCTTTTGGTTGCTGACCGTATTTTGGACTTGTGATTGGCTGAAAGCAGCTCTCAATTGTTTATTTGTGAATTAAAAGTAATCAGTTTTACAAACACTTAGAAGCTCTCCCAAGTTGTTCAAAATCTGGCAAGCGTTTTAATTTCTTAGATTGATCATGTTGGCTGTTTGAGGAGGTGCATGCGTCGCAAGAAATGAAAGAGGGTAGAACCCCAAGATAAACGAGGTCCAAAACTAGTGTTTGAAAGCAAAACATAACATCGCGGTTTCTCGGCTTTCCAATCAGCGTAACGAATAATGAATGTACAACCAACGGCATCCAGCAGGTGGCCAAAAGATCCATTGTTTTTTTCGTTTTAACGCATAGTTGGTACATTTAAAAAGTCTATTGCGAGATTCTTAACGAGAAGACTAGCGGTGACTACCAAGTTAAGAAGAAAAGAATTTGTTTTCGAAAAGCAATTTTAGCTGGATAGAGGTAAGAAGAAAACGAAGATGTTTATTATTCTAATCAATCGTACAGCTTATTAATTTGAAACAATATTTAGGTTTGGTTAATTTGTTTGTTACTCAAAATAATAAACAGCCATAAGAAAATTCGTTCCTAAAATTATACATTCTCCCTGAGGCTTTACTTTAATTTAACAGGAATTCTCAATTTTTAATATAAACTCTCTTTCCTCGAGTTTGGTCTGAATATTTTGAGTTCTGCTGGGTTGCTTTAATTTTTTCTCAGTATCTGTTCAATCGATCATTATTCCTAGTTGCAAATAATAAGTTGCAGCGACGAAAATAACTAGAGAGCTATTACTCTGCTTACCGACAACAGATGAATTAAAAGGGCCAATCTGCTTTCGTGCGAAAAGAATTTGGCTTTACAAAAAGAGAAATACACGGCAAAAAAATGAAAGTACTTCGTACAATCAGAGCCCGAAGATTAGCCAGTTCGCCACACATACAAAAAACAGAGAATTGACACTTGAGAAAAAAACTTAAATGCTACAAATAACCCAAAAACCTCAACAAGCTTTAGTCCTAGTAAAGGTATTCGGAACCCGCGCGAGGCAATGAAAAAAATCTACAATGTATGTTAGCGTAGAACCCGGGCAGGACCTCAAAGTTATAGGGGATAAACCGAGGAAATTAATAGTAGAAAAGCCTGACAAAATGGATAAAAATCAAAATGTTTAAGGAAATCAAAAGGACTAACCAATATCATAGTTTCATTACGATTAAACTTTATTCATATACCATTTGCAAGAGGGAAAACACTGTTGTCGCACATTTTTGTCGAGAATACTCTGATTTGATAAAAATTAACAAACGGATAAAAAACAAGTATTGATCAGTACCTTATACGAAAATAACGAATAACCAAACAAGAGGACAAGAAAAAACCGTAACTCTTCTGTTAAGCCCTAGGGGACTTTGGGGTGAGGGATATTTTTTCAAGTATTTTTGAGGGAGCTGAATATTTATGGCGGTGAGGTGGGGGCAGCAAAGAAAGAAGACAAGCCGTCTGATCTCAATTCTTGTCTTCCATTAGTACAATGACTGTTTGGATGAAAATGGAGATTTGCTGGGTGATATTTTGATGCAAATTGAAAGGAACGACACTTTGAGGGGTACATGCAGTAAACGTCATTTATAATCAACAACCTTCATTAATACATTCTTATATTTATTACTTTGAGGATGAGAGTGAAGATGGGGCTACGAGGAGGGAGAGAGCGAGGGCTTATTAGCTGTCTTCCTCTGAGAAGGCGGGCTTATTAATTAAGAGAGGAGGGGGCATAACAGACGATATACGGTTTGTCCATATATTGACACCCCTACGATCCTGTTGAAAACATAGTGAAAATAACTTACCAATTAATATCTTTAAGTCGACGAAAGTCCTACTGCACTTCAATTGTTTTTGACCTCATATTACAGGTTGCTTTTTCACTAGGTTAACAATCTATTTTTTTCTTAAAAAAGAGAAGAGACACTTTAATTTCACGATCAACAAGCCGAAGACAAGATTTCAAACCATGCCCTTCGGTCCGTCGATGCTTCCATAAAAGGATTTCCTGCAGAGCCATATTTCACGTACAAATGAGGCGTTGTCATCGTTTTCAGTTCAACAAGTGCACTGTTTCGCTTGTCACACGATTTCAAAATGAACCAATGGCTGTCAGAGGTTTCTTTTCCAGAATCAAACTAGAGGAGTTAAGAACAAGCAAGCCATCTATTACCACTTAGATATCAGAGTAAAATGTTAAATTCAACTTCATTTTTAGGGCCTTTGAAACACCTTTTGATCAATATTTTAACCTCAATTTGAGGGAAGGCAAACACAGCTTTATGTTTAACGTAATGTATATAACGAGTGCTAAAAACTAAAAAGTGAAGAGTACTGACAATTACCATGGCAAGCTATTTAACAAGGGAAATTCGACTTGTGTTTCTCTACGAACCGAATTTAACTGCGTAGATGCTGTGACAAGAAATTCTCAAAAGAGCAAGTATTGCCACTATGCGCTCGATATATTTTGTATTGCCCCATGTAAGATAATCTGGAGTCACGAATCTGTGAAATTTTTGCTTGTGGAATCTGTAATCCACCTCAAGATACCGCAATCCCGCTAACGATTGGAGTCTAGAATCCAAGTTCCGCTGGCAAAAAAATCCGGAATCGATTACCTGGAATCCGGAATCCACTGCATGGAATCCAGAATCGAAGACTGTCTTGGATTCCCTTACACGGGATGATATGTAGACAAGATAGAGCAGTTAAAATGGCAACCGTTACCTTAATGATTAATTTGCCTTCTTTCACGGCCAACACATAATTTTTGTCGATTTCCCAATGGAAGGACACTGCAAAATTAGATCCATTGATGGCTCTTCGCTCTTCGATGAATTCTGGAAATATTCAATAGGATGCTCTATATGATGAGATGAATTGGGTGCCTAATTAAAATTCTTCATAACGACTAAAAAGATAAATAACTTACTTGAAAACTTTATCTTAGTGCTGTCGCAGGAGCCACTAATCGATACGTTTGTCGGGATACCAGCCGTATCCAAATGAACTCGAAGGAGATTGCCTTCACCAGACCCAATTTCCCGAGCGTAAAATGACTGAATCTGACACGGGGATTGCTGAACGGTGATAGCGTCATTATAAATGATCAGAGATAAAATAAGGAAAAAGGCTGTATTCTGGAATAGTAACAAAAAAAATTAATTAGCAAACAATTAATTAATGTGATGGCGCCTCAGAGTAAACCATCGTTTTTCTGTTTATAGAGAGCAAGGGTGCGTGCGCAGTAGTGAGAGCACTCGCACCCCACCGATGTGGCCCGGGTTCAAATCCGAGCCTTCTGCGTGGATCATGAGTCTTTTGTTGGTTCTCTCCACTGCTCCGAGAGGTTTTTCTCCGGGTATCCCGCATTTCCCCTCTCCTCAAAAACCAACGGTTCCAGTTGAATTCCAATTCGACCAGAAATATGAGACGAAGAACCGCTTTGTGGATGTGCTACCCCTAAATTGTCATAATTATTTTTATGATTAATGTTATTATTATTATTATTATTATTGTTATTATTAGGTTTTTGTACTGTTTTTCTCCTGATTTTGTAAACCATATTCACATGAAAAGAGAATAACTATAAAAATAGAAACCCGTAGTAAATCGCGTCGAACACGGTGAACTCGGCTGATCATTCTGCACACGAGGCCATCACGTGCCTCTATATAGCTATCTGAGTGGATCAGCTAATACTTAAGCAAAGGGGTACGAATTCCACACCCTGATTTGATTTTTGCCTTCATATTTTGAGAATGGGGCGGGTCAATTGCAGTAATTCAAATCGTTCTGATAGCCCAGATATGGTAAGAGAAACTGCAGTCGATTTTGACAATTTTGATTTCTACCATAGCTTCCTCGATTAACATACCGTAATTCACATCAAATGTTTCAAGAACCCACTTTTATCCACAAACTATAACCAAATTGCTGAAATTGTTCCTTGTCAATCTGGGTTATTCATATATTTGTTATTGGATGCTTTACAATGAAGAACATTACATGGATATCATTAGTAAGAATTAAATCCTGTTGAAATAGTGATACTTCAAACGGATGTGAAAAATGCACAGACACACGCAAATCATGATAACGGTATTTTAAAAAAGAAAAGACAAGCGCTCTATTGATCAACTTCTAAACCTATTTACGGTGGGTGATTAATCTTATTGAGTCAGTTTGTAAAACGTAATTTTTTTCTTCCTCTTTGCGCGCCGATGCGGCGCCAAGTCACAGCTATTGGATAACAAATTTTACGAAACAAGGAAACAGAAAAAAGAGAGAAAGAAAGAAAACACACATACATTAAAAACTGGGCATAAAGTGCCACTGCAAGAGTGGGAGGATGGAAGTGGCTGATATGACTCATCAATCCTTTTACTGCCAGAGTTAATGATGAGGTTTTGTAAGGTGGCTCTTACTCTTAAGTCTGTGGACCAAATCCTCTCTGGTAGTATGGTCACATGGTGCTATCTGTTTTTCCAAATTTTGCAAAATGAAATTTGGGAATTTTCGTTGAATTATTGCCTTTGGCCACATTTGGCACTGAAAGGTTTAAAACCGGCCTATGACAGAAGAGAAAAAATCAAACTCCCTATGCTAATGAAACGAAAAAGAACTAAAAGCGAGCTCCTTGTCTGGAAAAAATGCAATATCCTTTCTATTCTTATAGGGAAGGAACAAGGTAACATTTTCTAGGCAGAGCGGGACACGAGAAACTTAAAACGCAAATATAACAACACGAGGAAAAGAAAGAAAATTAGGAAAATAGGAGTACCTTAAACACCATCGTCCTGTCAGTGTGCGTTAAAGCGTCGATGAGTTGTTCAAATTTATCGGCACTAAGAAAAGAGCGAAAGTTTCCAAGCAAGCCGCAAACTTGAATCTACCCCAAGAACCTCAAGCAGAGCGGTTTTTAAAGGCGTTTATTGATTTTCTTCAGCTATATCATGTTTAAATGGACTTTGCGGTCTTTTGTTATCAATATATCATCTTATTGCATCCTTTATCTTATTATAGAGCTGTTACGTCAGTTGTGTGCGAGAAGGCCTCCAGCAAATGGCCGCAATTGCCAAAACACATTTTTCACACGATTATCATTCACTATACTCGCCGGTAGACTTAAAGATCTTGTTGAGGAGTTGAAAAGATATTAAACCACAACATCTGTCAAACAACATTTAAAAACTCATCCACTAAGGACCACACGTCTACCCCCATAGTGTCATAGGGTACCCGATATTTTATGCAAGAGCGTGGTTTAAAGGTAAAGACTTCAATCGACAAAACAAAGAACTATTGAATTGAAATAACTGAAACTAATATTACCGTGTCTAATGGGGCGTAACCTCTTTAACTCAATGAATCAGTGGGGTCATTAAAGACCACTTTAATGTAAATTTTTAGACAAACAAACCTGGAGCGCAACAGCTAAAATGAAAGCTGTTTTACGGCTTAAAAAAATAGAAGTAGAGCAGTTTGTTCACGTAATAGGGCAATAACAATGATAATGATGATAATAAAACGTATTGTTTGTTTTACATCCTTTCCTTATTGGAGAGTGCGAAAGTTACGTGGTTGTGTAGATAGACCCTCTGGCTGTAAGAATCACCAACACAAATGAAAAAACCATTTAATACAAAAAGGATGCACCTCTTTCCGATTTGGCTTTAAAAAGGATTAACGTAAGGATACTATTAAATTCCTAACGTGGAACTTAAGCCAGGATCAAGCATTCAAAAAAAAAAAACGTTTCAATAAGTGTCCTAGGGGTCGACCCGCCGCATCAGGTCTTTTGATGCCACCGTCCATTCAATCTTTAGTCGTATCAACTTTTATTTGTTATGGCAGGAGATAAATACGACACTATTTGTCAAGAGTTAGTTAACTTACAAAGAGTAAGCCTGCAAACGGTTTTTCGCCTTTACATTAAGACTAGTGAAAACACTCACTGGAAGTTTCTCCATTCTTTTTCTGGAAACAAAACATTTTTAAACCCTCTTATAATTTTACTCATCAAAGGTTTGGTTTAATTAATGCGTGCGAGAGCCTCCCTTGAGTCTTGCTTCCATGAAGTGATGTGTTAACCTTGGTGCATAGAACAAACACGCGGCTTATCGTGGGTGGCGAAAAAGGGAACCGCATGACTTAAGGTCAAACACGTTAAAAACCTACAAACAAAAAACAAAAAGGGAGCTTCGATTACGAGTTGTTTCCACGTGCGCATATTAGAAAAAGGACAGGAAGGAGAATACTGAACTGAAAAAGATTTATAGATAATGAAAAAAATAAATAACGATTTGTGGGTCGACGGAAACAATTTCGTAAATGAGCATTTCCAGTTCTTTTCATATTGATCTAAGTGAATTTTCTAGGGAGCTTTCCCCGCTCCTAATATACAAACTATACAAGAGCTATTTAACATGCTCAATATCAAATAGATTTGCACAAATTTGCTCCTTGCATAAATGTCACAAATATGTAAATACTGATGAGTAAAAATGTGGCAAAGATGGTAAATGGCACATTTGCATACCAATATAGAAGGGGTGTAAATAACTAGGCAAATGAGACATTTACCATCTTTGCCATATATATTTGCAACATATTTGCAAGGAGCAAATTTAGGCAAATCCTGTTTTTCGTCCTTTAGGATGCTGGCCATTCGTTATGGACGACTTGAATTGACCGATACAATTCAAAACTATTGAAATACGACAGCAAATACAACAAAAACTGAGACGGTTCCTGTACATGTCAGCCCCGCTTAGAAAAACAAATGCACCTTTAGATCTCGAGGTAATTGTTAAGCAAAAGAGAAAGTACACTGGGGCGACACTGGGTTTTACATGTACGTGGGGAGCTCTCCAGGCCTAGGAAACTTTACGTACATGCAGTACAGGTAAGAAAAAAATCACGATCTTTTGTTACTTTATGCACAATGTTCTATTGACCATGGACACGAAAATTTAGACACCTTTCAGTTTGAAATTTCGTTGCTTGTAGTTGAATAGAAACAACTTCGACATAAGAGAAGATAAAGGAGATTCTGCATGTTTTGAACAGATATTCTACCTCTTCGTTTAGGAAATCCTCTCCACTTTTGTTTTTCGAGATCTGTTCTGACCCTGACTTCACAAAAGAGCCACGGTTTTGTCTACATATACAACATTTTTTAAAAACAAAAGCGATAAGCAAATGCCGGATGCAAAAAGAAAAGCGCAAAGATTCAAAAAATTGTTTAGAATGAAGCTGATTGTCCGTTATTCTACCAGAAAAGGGTAGAAAGTAGGTAAAACTTAACAAATGAAAGCCCGGTATAATGCCGAAAGAATCATTCGTAACAGTTATTGAGTAAATTAGATTAAACTTCTTCAGAACGCGAAAGAGTTTGATATCACGAGAAAATACCTGACTCAATCTCTGTTGTATATAACCTCACGAGAAGAACTATAATTTTCTAACGTCATCAAGGCCTCAAATCTCATGCAACAGAGCTTTAACTGAAGAGGTGGTCAAATAATGTGAACAAGAGCACTGAAATCGGTAACTTAACTGCTTTAGGTGTGGGTCTTTCGACTTTGCCTTTGAGAACATTGAGATATAGGCTAATCTAGGCTTTCATGGAGTGAAAACTTCGATTAAGGTGGAGAAGGTCTTTCTTATATTTTTTCAGATTGCTATCCTTCCTCTTCATTTTTTGCCGTAATTCCCGAAGTCGTTTCAAAAGTAACTGTGCACATCATATCAAAATCCATTTTGAAATGAATTTTAAATAGAGTATATCATTTCATTGCCTGCCTTTGATTTTACCCTTCCAGATAACTACAAGAAAGCATCCGATGTTGGAATTGAAGAAGAGCTAAGAAGAGTTGAAATCTGTCGTTATATCAAACAAATCTAATTCACCGGATTATATAGAATAATAGTGTGAACTACACCTCCACGTACTTCTAAACACAGCCACAACAAGTCGCAGCTGATGAAACGAGTGAAATTAAAGAAATTGTTGCTTTTCCACCTACTTACAACATGACTCAAAGGTTCGAACCTTTTTCCACCAAAATGTGATGTTTTCTTCCATCACGAAATACCATCATTCAGTTTCATCAATTTAAAACTGTAGTAAAATGATTTTAAGCTAAACTTGTACTGCGTTAAAAACGACGCAGTTTTTCAAGTTGACTGTCAGCATCAGCCAACAAGAGTGCCTGGATATTTCTTGCCAAAGACTGGGGATGTAGAAAGACATCACTTTAAATCTTTGTGTCGAGATTTGTATGCATGCCGGCTCTTTAAACGGACAAAAACGTGAAACTCGTCGGAAAAGTACCGATTCGTTTTATAAGTTCTTAATGAAACGCTTAAGACAACCGATGTTTTCCCCATTGTGTAAATAGTCTTTGACTCACTCTACTGGAAGAGTAAAGATGCATTCATGAACGCGAAAAGGATGGAATCAGTCGACTAACCCTGCAAGCAACCAAAAAATCTCGTAAAATTCTCAGCGTTAAATCTAGACTTTTTATACATTTGTAAATTCATATTATTGCGAAGACAAAGATGATCTGTTCAGTTATTTAAAAAATGTCAAATGATATACTGGGAATTAACACGTATAATTGCAATGGATGTTAACCAACTGATCTCTAGAATAATAACGCATGCATCTTGGGACTGGAGATGTATATGCGGTGGTGCACAGAACTCAAGATCTGTTCATTATCTCTGTCCCAGAAGCACAATATTAAAATGCAAACCGGCAGAGTATTGCCTGAAACCATACGTGTTCGCTATGCTACTAGTAAATCCCAAGGAATGCCAGAAAAAAAAGGCTTTTAGGAAATGTCAGGCATATAGACGATCTCAGAGATAAAGTAGCGCTGCTATGCCAGGATCCGCCATTTATGCATAAGTTGTCAGACGAATAGACCTAAACCTATGCTTTGGAAATGTTGGAAGATTGGGAGAATCACAGGGTCGACTATAACGAAATCTTGTCCGAGGAAAAGCTGTGACGTGGAATTGGAATTTAAAATGAATGGATGAAATCACAAAATCACTTTAACAAGATTTAAAATATCAGTAGCTACAAAAAACCGACCTTTCATAAGATCGATCTATACAGAAATATACAGCAGTTGTATTGATCTTGTAGACAATCACATTAAAACACATACTCAGTGGTCTTGTATTCTGCATATTAAGCATTCAGTGTACTAAAAGTACGGACAAACTAAATAACAAAAACTAGAGACCAGAGCTTGGCAAAAACATTTTTATAGAGGAAGTTCTATTGAATCATTGCTCTGTATTCCACCCTCAGCTTGTGGAAACGGATTTCGACGCTCTGATCGTACAAATCGGGTTGTGAATGCAATGCTTGTGGATCATGGCACGCCTGGTACAAAGTCCAAAAAGTAAAGGAGAATACGGAAAGCATTGGCCTTAACTTCGAAGAGTTCTCCATTCTAAGAAGAAAGAATTCTGAAAAATTTGGTACGTTTTCGATTTAAGAATAACACTTTGGCGTTAAATCTCCAGCGAGCGATTGTATGTATATATTATTTATCAGTGTTAAGTGCAACAACACAAAAGTGTCCCATCAAACGGGACCAGTACATCGGAATACTCGTCAGTTACTTCGACTAATATTAACGACGCTTAAAGACCATGCATGGAGTCCTTTGTTGGTTCGTTAAGAGTCAGATTTTTATTAAGTGAAAAGAGCTTTGTATGTTTTCTCCAAATGACAATGTATCGCTGAACTACGTGATTAACACATGCGATAACTTACGATTGTGTTTCAAGACCGCTTAGGGTAACATTCAGTTCAAATTAAATTATCCACGGCTGATGAAAAAATCACGAAACCCGCTTGTCGAAGACATTTTGCTAGAATTTTGAACCAT